GCTCCTTGTGTTGCTTCTCTGACCTCCTTGGCTCTCTGGTCACTGCAGATCTGCTTCTCACCACAGGGTCTGCTCCTTGGGCTGTGTGTGTCTGGCTCTGATGCTACAGGTCTGTCTCTCCACACAGCTTGCTCTCCTTGCTGCTCTTCTTAGCTCTTTCCATTTCTCAGAGGATCCCAGAAAATCCCAGGAGAAGTAGAAGGATGTAAGAGTAAAGTTAAAGGAAAGCAGGAATATATCTGGACTATGAGGAGATTGAGGGGTTGCAGAGGAGTGTAGAGAGCAGGCAGCATACTGAAAGTGGTTTCAGGGCAGTGGAAAGGCAGATTAGAAGGAGCCACAGTTGCCTGGGGGCAGACTAGGATGTGCAGAGGTATGTGTGGCAGGAAGAGCCCAAATAGGGAGCAACATGATATGGCACGTAAGAGAAGGAGAATACGGTGGGTGGCAGTTTGAGGGTAAAGAGAAGGAATTAGTAGGTATAAATGGCATGTGGATGACAGGAGACTAGGGGATGCATGAGATGTGACTGAGTGAAGTAGCCAGCTGTCTTGTGTAGTTAAGGGAGGGAGACTAGCATAGGTGTTCAACCTAGAGGCACAAGGGATTCTGCTGCATCTCCTGCCTTGACATGGTTTCCATTATACAGAGAGTTTACAGTTTGGTTCAGAGCACTCCAGCCAAGGTCACTGATGTGGGGAATGGGGCAATGGAGGCAGATGCTCTGGGGTCTGGTGATCCAGGCTGCCACGGCTGGAACCCCAGGCCCTTCAAATCACCCCCATAGCTCTGTGCAGCACAGTCAAGGTGGTGCTAAGGGTGGGCTGGATGAGGGAGATGGGGCAGCCCAGTAGTGCTGAGGGCTGGCTGCCCCTTTCTGCTTTATGCCGTGCTCCTTCCAGCAAGCCCAGAGACAGGCAGAGTCTGTTATCAGCCCTGACCTTAGCTATACAAATTGTTTCAATGCCACTGGAGACTCACTGACATTTCCTCCCTGGGGCATTTAAGGGCCATGGGTGCCATTTCCCTTCAGCTAGTGGTGTTCTACAATCTGCAGCAGCTGGGTCTGACACAACAGTCAGCAGAAACCAGGGAGAGAGCAGGAGGAGATGCTGTAATTCAGCACAGTTCCTTGCACATGTGTGTGGTGAAATCATCCCAAACAGGGCCCAGGCACATGCTGACAGCACCTTCTCCTCTTGGGTGTGTGAGAGGGAGGTGATCTCCACAACCACTGTCACTTCCTGAGGCAAGTCCACAGGCAGAGGAGGAGCGAGGAAGCCCAGAGAGGAACTGAGTGACCAGTGCCTTTACTGTTGCTGCTGCTCCCTGAAGGCTTTGCAGGTAGTTTCCTGGTTCTTTTGGAGGTGGGGGTTGGAGAGCAAAAAGAAGGGAGTTTTTTGTGAGGGGAAAAGGGGGTAACCATACAGATAAGGGAAACAAAGAGGAAAACAGGAGCAGCTAGAGAGGACAGGGGAGAGGAAGTCAGGAGAAAAAAGTTATTCTGTTTGTGAGAAGGACATGGATAGAGCAAAGGGTTGCAAATTGGGCCAAAACTAATGGATTACAATGATTTTTAAGTATATAAACAGTTTGGAGGATGTTTTTGAACTGAGTCAAATAAACCAGTTTTTCAATTAGTTCAGCTAATGAGATGAGATCCCTAAAATCAGGTTGTATGGCTAAAAGCCATTATAATCTGTCCTTTGCAGCACAGTGGGCAAAAGAGTCCAGGTGTTCCACACTTTGGTTATTTACCATGTATTTGGTGGCTTGAGCCACATATTGGTGGGTTGGGATTTGCTTTTTGCCCTGGCCCTGCCTGGCAGGGAAAAGCAATAGGAGGTGCTCAGAGAGAATAGTAGGGAACAAGTTGCCCTTTGAGATAGCTCCTGATAATGGTTGACACAGGCATCCCTGCTCCCTTAAGCCTCCAAGTATCTCTTGACAGAGATGACAATGCTGTTGGGAGAATAGCCATGAGACTCCTCACATCAACCTCAGTGGACATTGAGGAAACAGTAGGTTCAGAAGGTCCAAAAAAACCCCTCTTTTTTTTTTTTTTACAAAAAGTTGTGGGGAAAATGTAATTTAAATGACTGTATAGGAAATGTATAAACAAAAGGATACTTTTCACACAATTTTGAATTGAAATGTTTGTTGTATTGAAACGTGTTGATTCTTATTTGTGTTTCCGCCTTTTTCTCCATTTTTCATTTTTTCCACTAAATGCAGCAGAATGAATATTTTCCAGTGTGTGTATTCCTTGCTTTTAGGCTCCCCCCGCCCCCCACTCTAATTTTTTAAATTTCTCCAACTTAGGAAAAGTTAAGAGTGGCAAATGGGAAAATAAAACACTGTAAGTCAGACCTTCTGAAACTTCCTCCAAATCTCTTTAAATTTTAGTGGAAAAAGGAAAAAAGAGAAGAAAAATTAATAAAGATAGATCTGTAGATAGCATTCATTCTTTTTATTGCATTCAGAAAAGAAAAAGGGCTAGAAAAATGGGAAAGGGAGAAACATTTTAAATTTCCATATTTAAAAACCTAACTCAAAACAAAATTTCTGAAGTTAATCAAAATATCAGAACTCCAGATCTGAATATAAATAAAACTAAAGTTTTGATCTGAACCACTTTGAAAATTTCCAGCAAAAATTTGAAATAAAAAGTTTGTCTGAATTTTTTTTTCCACAGAAAGAAAAGGGGTTTCTATCTTGCTACCTCTTCACTAGCATAATGCCCGTGCAAAGTGACAATTTCATGTTCTGGCAAAATGATTTGTTATGTAACAAAAGTAATTAAAGGAAAAACATCCAGAAAATCCTAGAATCCTATGACCGATTGCCTTAACAGTAGATTTGGCAGAATGTGATTTTAATTTTTCAATAATTTTGACTGGTATCATGGGGCGGGTTAAGTATTTTGATGTTTATTTATTTAAATGTTCACACTTGTGCAAATATAGCTTTTAAGCACTTTTTCCAATCACTATCGATTTAAATTTTCAGAGTTGTAGAAAATTAGTGGGGGAGGGTCAGACAATTATTTAATGACAGCACATGTTAAATTAAAAATCTTAAAAGGTTTATAACTCTTAAAACACACTTTTTCATCACAGTATATCAAAATATACAAACTAAATAACCTTAAATCAAATTCTAAGATGTCCTCTAGCAGGGGCAATGTACATCATAGGCAGGGGAAGGCATTGCCTTCCCAAACTGCCAGGCAGAGCCCCACTCACACTCTGCCCCCAGAACACCTAATGTAGGCAGACTGGGGTTGGAGTGTTGCTGTTCCCAGTGCCTGCCCTTCCCATGCCCTGGGGCCAGGGAGGCTAGCTCTACACACCCTTCTCCCTCCCTGTGGTGCTGGGGGCAGGGCCTGGGCAGAAGGGGTGGGGTTGAGGGCGGGGTTAGAAGGCGTGCCTCCCCCAGCTTTACCTTCACCCACAGCCGATGTGTTTTTACCAGCATTTTGTTATTTTGCTTCTCTGTAAAATTTGATTATGATTAGTGGAAGTGTGTGTGAGATAAAAGTCAGTGTTGAACAATAGCTGCAGATTTGAAAATCTTATCTTTCCAAGCCTACTTATCAGCTTATGGCTCTTTCACTTTCAAATACATATCTAGTTTTAGCTTTTGTTGCGCTTATCCACTGTTGTCACCTTGTGTGTTGCACACTTCATCTCCTCCTCTTCCTCCTCCTAAATTCCAGCGTAAGTTGAACTTGTTATTTGAATAATTTACTTTCAGTCTCCCAGGGTTGCCCGTACCATAACTTTTTTCAAAAGTACCCAATTTTAAAAAGATTTCCCCATATATTATTGTATGCAGTTATAAAGTATACCGCATTATCTATGTACTCTTTTTTTTATAAATGCCCATTTCCTTACTTTATATGTAGGAAATGTTCTCTTTTACATTAATGATTACTAGATTATTCAATGATCATGTCTACCCACTTCTGAAGAAGTTCTGTGATTTTGCAGGATGTACTGTATTTATATACATGAGTACATGATTGAGTGAATTCACTTTTGCAGGATGTACTGTATTTATATACATGAGTACATGAATGAGTGAGTAAATGAATGAGTGAATTCAGGTACATCTTCAAGTCCTTTGCAGCATTACTCCTTAAAGAGACATGAAGATTACCTCATTATCCTGACAGTAAAAAGAACTTGCGATAAGAACAATTGGAACGAATTAATAAAGATAAAGTAAGAAAACATCAGCACCCTTTCTAAAAGTTGCTGGATGGGGATAGGGGGAGAAACCTTTCTGGGGGTTGCAAAATGTACAAGAATGACTGCTGCTTGAAGTGAAAATCAGGTTAGTTGGAAACCCAAAAGAGCGCTGAGTTCACCCCTCACAGCTGCTGTTGCTGGCAGGGAGCTCAGCACTAACACCAACTAGCGAGGGGGGAAGATTATTTCTGGTGGTTTGGAAGTCTTTGAAAGCTACATATTTTAATTGTCCACATGGGAGGGGTTTTCCGGCAAACTACTGATAGATTTTCTTTTAAAAGGGTTTCAGTCTTTTCTGAGCCACTTTGTAGGGTCTAAAGTTTTGGACAGATACACGTCTTCCCTTTCTGTGGTAAGTATCACATACTGTGTTAGGTGGTTGCCAAGGAAAACTACTTAATTTCATTTTGTGGCAAGCTTTTCATTTAAATATTCTGTTAGTCTGAAATAGTCATTCTGAAGTTTTGGTAATATTCAATTTTTATTCTCTCTAATCTCTTGAATTCAATTTTTAATACGGATCTTTATAGATTCATCAGTACAGTTTCCCCTCTCTTGCTTTATTTATAATGCAATAGATAACGCATGTGCACATTTAAATTTAATTTTTAACTCTGAATTTCCTGAGGATGCAATGATTGTTTTTAAGATAATTACAATTTTTTTGTGATACATTATGCAACCCTAATGCCAGATTAATATTTTACTTCTATTTTTGTCCCCCACTATGGTAAAGGGGAAGGGTAGGCTGGTGGCTAAGGCACTGGCTTAGGAAGTGGGATTGTAGCCTGCTTCAATTACCTTCTTTACCATGGACTTCCAGTGTGACCGTGGGCAAATCACTTAGCCCCTCTGTGTCTGAGATTCCTATTTGTAAAACTGGCACAGCACCACTTCCTCAGATGGGTGTTGTGGGTATACATGCATTCACGATGGTGACATGCATTGAGCTTTACAGGATAAGAAGTGTTATACAAGAAAGAGGCGGTGTTATTAACACTCCATAAGGCACTTTTTTCTCCATCAGATACTGATAAATATGTACCCCCTTAGTCATAGTCCTACTCTAATACAAAATTCAACCTCTACGATAGTAAGGCGGAAATATGTTATGTAGTTATCAACTGTGTGAAAGTTAAATGGGCCAGTTTCTTGATACAGAAGTATATGAGGCGGAAATTAAGATTTTTGTGGCAGAGCACAAGCTTGCTGCAATTGGTGTACATACGGCTTTTCAGCATCTACTGGAGATGGAAGCAAAAGTGTCACAGATGTTGTTGAAGGGTGCAAGAAAGTGGCAACAAATGTCAGAGACTTTTCCCTTCAGATCTTATTTCTATGTTTTTAAGGTTTAGGGTGATGTGAATGTCCTGCTGCAGTATAACTGTGATGAAAGTTTCTGCTTGTGATAATGTACTGTGATATTTATATAATGTATATTAAAAAGTAATGGTTTGCAAATTAAAATTTCAGCCTTGAAAATCTAATATTCCCAATATAATTTCCTTCTTATTCAGATCTGATGTTTCACAAATGATGTTCCAACATTTATTCTTTTTTAATATTTTAATTTAATACTCAATTTAACATACAAGTTATAAATAATTCCCTAGGTTTATCATATTGATAATCTTTACATATGACTTGAAGCTATTGAGGCATGGTATTAATATCTAATTGAGAAATTATTCCACTAGAAATATATGAATTTAAATTTAAGTATTTTTAACCTCCTCTCATAAATGGATTAGTTTAGCTTGATAACATTAAAGGCAGGGATTACCAGGTTCCTCAAGATTTCAATAAGACTTGAAATTAAGAAGTGACTGGTGTTTTTCACTTTTCGGGTCTCAGTAGCTCAGTGATTCTTAACCTTTCTGCACTACTTCTTTCCCTTTTAGGAGTCTGATTTGTCTTGCATACCCCCAAGTTTATTCTCACTTAAAAACTACATGCTTATGAAAACAGACATTAAACACACAAGTGTTGCGATACATTATAACTGAAAAATTGCTTCCTTTCTCATTTTGTTTGTATGAAATTTTCATTTGTACTTGCTCTGCTAGTGTTTTTTTATGTAGCCTGTTGTAAAACTAGGGATATATGTAGATGAATTGAAGTTCCTCTTGAACCAAGACAGCTGTGTATCCCAATGGATTCAGAAGCACTGTGCTGGGAAAACAGACATTAAACACACAAGTGTTGCGATACATTATAACTGAAAAATTGCTTCCTTTCTCATTTTGTTTGTATGAAATTTTCATTTGTACTTGCTCTGCTAGTGTTTTTTTATGTAGCCTGTTGTAAAACTAGGGATATATGTAGATGAATTGAAGTTCCTCTTGAACCAAGACAGCTGTGTATCCCAATGGGTTGAGAAGCACTGCGCTGGCTGATCCTAAAATTACTGTGTTTATAAAGAGTTAGACTTTGTTCAGGATAGCATAACTATTCAAGGGAACACCGTTTCCTTTATGGAGATGGAAGCAAAAGGCTCACGGGGGAGAGAGGTAATATGTACCTGACTTTCTCTCCCAAAGTGAGATGTGTGTGGAGAACAGAAAGGAGAACAGACAAGCTTTCTCTCCCAAAGTGAGATGTGTGTGGAGAACAGAAAGGAGAACAGACAAGCTTTCTCTCCCAAAGTGAGATGTGTGTGGAGAACAGAAAGGAGAACAGACAAGCTTTCTCTCCCAAAGTGAGATGTGTGTGGAGAACAGAAAGGAGAACAGACAAGCTTTCTCTCCCAAAGTGAGATGTGTGTGGAGAACAGAAAGGAGAACAGACAAGCTTTCTCTCCCAAAGTGAGATGTGTGTGGAGAACAGAAAGGAGAACAGACAAGCTTTCTCTCCCAAAGTGAGATGTGTGTGGAGAACAGAAAGGAGAACAGACAAGCTTTCTCTCCCAAAGTGAGATGTGTGTGGAGAACAGAAAGGAGAACAGACAAGCTTTCTCTCCCAAAGTGAGATGTGTGTGGAGAACAGAAAGGAGAACAGACAAGCTTTCTCTCCCAAAGTGAGATGTGTGTGGAGAACAGAAAGGAGAACAGACAAGCTTTCTCTCCCAAAGTGAGATGTGTGTGGAGAACAGAAAGGAGAACAGACAAGCTTTCTCTCCCAAAGTGAGATGTGTTTCGAACTAGGAGGGTAATGTAGGCATACCGCACTTGCAAATGAAGCCCGGGATTTGAATGTCCCGGGCTTCATTTTCATAAACTGGGCGCCGCCATTTTTAAATCCCTGCTCGTTCGAACCCCGTGCCGCGTGGCTACACGCGTCACGAACTAGGTAGTTCGGACTAGGCTTCCTATTCCGAACTACCGTTACTCCTCGTGGAACTAGTCCGAACTACCTAGTTCATGCCGCATGTAGCTGCGCAGCACGGAGTCCGAACTAGCGGACATTTAAAAATGGCGGCGCCCGGCAACATGCAAATGAAGCCCGGGATTTGAATTTCCCGGGCTTCCATTTGCAACTCCGGTTGACTACATTACCACCCTACTTCGAACTAGGGTGGTAGTGTAGACATACCCTGAGTTCCCAAACCTAGACCATGAAAGGCAGGCCCCAGACAAGGTGTACTTTGAGGCTTTGTCTACACTGCAGGGTTTTTGTACAAGAAGCTTTTTGTAGAAGAGTTCTTGCTCAAAACCTTCTTGTGCAAAAGCACAACCAGACCTCAAAGGGCATCGCTTTTGTGATGCGCTTTTGTGCAAGAGAGCATCCACACTGCATGGATGCTCTTATGGAAGAAAGCTCTGATGGCCATTCACAAAATGACCATCAGAGAACTGTGCTTTTTCGGATAGGCTCTTTTTGCACAAGAAACTCCTGCGGCGCATCCACACATGCCTTTTTGCATAAGAGCTGAAGTTTAAAAAGGAGTTATGCCTCATAGCAGGAGGTTTACCTACACTGCAAAAAGCCCTCTGTTCCATCAAATGACTGTAGATTTTTTTTGTGCAAAAACATGCTTGAGGTGTGGACACTCCATGGGCTTTTGTGCAAAAACATCTTTTTGCACAAAAACGTTGTAGTGTAGACATAGCCTTGGATACTGTATTATTTGCACATCCTTAGTAGGAGCAGGTCTTCTCCCTCTCCATGCAACCCAATAAGTACCTATGATTATAGTAACAGTTGACTAAAACAACATTTACTTGAACCCCTGTAGTGAAGAGTTGATTGGTTGGCTGGTTTGGCTTGTTTCTTGTAGAGGTGTGCATGCCTGGCCAATGGCAGCATGGCTCCCAGTGTTTTTATCATGCAAAAGGAACATTGCCTACCTTCCAGAGACGCAGCACCAAAGGGCCTCCTTGAGGAGTGGATGCTTCCTCTTCCCTGAACACTCTTTGGGGCTGAGAGGTAGCACTCCTCCCTTCTTGATGGTTCTACTGATTCCTCCAAGTGAGGGGACAATTCATAGATAATCCAGAGGTTTGTGAAATGTATTGGCCCCCTCTCTCCCTTCACAAGAGCGTTTCTAGAGAGGATGTACTTTTTCTCTTTGGGTGGAAATCCTCAACAGCCAGCAGAGTGCTCCAGGGAGCAGAACTTGGCGCGCGCACTAATTGAGATTGATGCGGCACGTAAGTTACTTCCATTATTCAGTAGAACATCTCTTTTGCCTCTCATGAACTTAAATTAAAATATTTTCAACCGCAGAATACATATTTATGCTGTATGGAATGTGCCCTTCTTAAGCATGTCACATACTCCTTTTCTGGAATACCATTAACTATGTTATGAAGCATCTGCAGAAGTACTATGTTTATACTGCAACAATGTTAAATCTTAACTCTCTCAGAACCACGGCCAGACTAAGAAAGGAGTGTTAGGAGCCATGGTCCAGGATTCCAGGCTAAAGATTTCCAAGCTTCCAAAAGTGTTGATCTTCTGTGTAGGGCAGCCACTAAATGCTCTGTGTTCTGGCCCTACCTGGCAGAGGAGGGGGACGGACAGGGTTCCGTGCACTGCTATTCCCCCATTGGGCTGGAGCTGCAAGCAGCAGTAAGCTGCATCTTTGTGCTTCCCTCACCTGCAGACACTGTCCCCCACAGTTGCCATTGGCTGGGAAATGCGACCAATGGGAGCTGCAGGGAACAGTGTCTGCAGGCGAATGCAAAGCAGCATGCAGAGCCACCAGCCCCTTCCCCTCCCCAATGCGTTTGTCACCAAAAGGTGAGCTGCCCTTGGTAAGCACCCTGTACCCCAACTCCCAGCCCCAGCCCTGAGCCCCCTCCCACATCCTAATTCACACCCACATCCTACCCTCCCACTCACACCCTAACTGCTATCCAGACCCTACATCCCCACCTCCTGCCCTGAGCCCACTCCTGCATTCCAACCCTC